CGTAACGCGGCCTGCAATTTGCAGGACATTAGCACCGCGGTCAGATTTCGGTGTTCTGTGCTACGAATGATGACTGATTTCGTTAATGTAGCGAATACACGTGCATACCGCGCGGTTTCTGTGTCCTATTACGAGGTGACCGAAAGATAAGACCCGCGAGTAATATGATTTCGCGAGCTACGTGACTTCCAACCGCGACGAGTACGCGGTAAAAACATCACGAGTTTTTGCGCTACATTTTTGTTTTATTAGAGTTCGAAATTAGGGAACAAATGTCTGTGGAAACAAGATATAGAAAAATTGTTATTTCACAACTTAGAAGTTATCGATACCGTATTTTTTAAATTATCATTATTAGTGGCAACATGAAATTTTATTCCCTAAAAACCAACATTTGAGGATTCTAGCATCCTCATAATTATTAATTTATTATCATTTCTATCTATTTTTTAAATATAATTATTTTCAGCACATTTTGAAACGTAAAAGACTTTTGCTTATATAGAGCAAATTAAAAAGTATCAGTAAAATTGCAACAATTTAAGTATTTCTCAAGTTCTTTGTATTTTATTTTTTATTTTTGAAATAAATGTTGCGAATGTTTAACATAACGTAACATAACAGTTTTCAGTTACGGTGTTAAAAAAAAATGTCATATACCTATCCGATTATTTATTAAAACAGCATTTGCCAGTTAAATTGTAATAATTGATTCTGTACATATCTGTAAACCTATTAAGCATATTACATCGCTAGACTCAATAATTAGTTGTAAAAGCCTGCTCAAAATTCTGCTACTGCGGGAATATCACGGATGTTATAACCAGATTCACACTCAATTAACACGCTCGCGCTTACGTTGCGCGCGACTCCGCGGTGAGGCGACATTATGGATTTTATCGCGGCGGCCGCTAATTGCTACTGAAATTTATCTGGCGCCTCCATATTCTACGCGATATTACTACAGCGTTGCACTAGTACTCGAGATCATAACTTACCGTCCTAAATCAACACGCTGTTCTCCGCGGTGCTAAAACGCGAGAGTGGTGTCTCGTTTGATTTTGCCGGATAACTCGCCGAGTAACTCGCTAAATCAAGTACGTTTGTTTAAGTTTTTTTGCCTCCTCCCCCCTCTGCCCTAAGCAAAGTTCCAGACTATCGTTGCCAAAAGATACGACGAGACGAAATCGTGATCATAAAAACGGCATGCTTAATGGTAACATTACAAAAAAATCGTTCTCCTTTGTTTAGGTATATATCGTAAATTAAATAATTGTTTTAAAATCATCTCTCAGATGATTGGAATACCACGATTTATACAAATAATATAATAATGTTAATTGATTACTTTTGTGATTTGTTAGCTAATACAAAATTATATAATGCATGACGGCTAATGTGATGGAGGATATGGAAAAAAAAAGGTTTTTGCGCAACGCCAATTTAGATGATAGAGATAGAAACTAAAAGAGATGTGAAAGGTATGTGCTGGCGCGACATGTACAGGAAATTGTATGTTGTATGTAAAGGAAATAGTGCTATAAGACACGGGAGAGAAGTAGACGCGTGAAAGAAGGTGAATGAGAAAAGGAAATAGGGGATGGAAATACTAACGGAAAACAGAAGGCGATATGGTAAAAGAGACAAAAAAAAAGTTAAGGAAAAAGGGAAGAAGAGGAAATGAAGGAGCAGAGCGACATGAGAAGCGAATGAGAAAATAAAAACTAGAAAGATTTCGGATTTCGGAGAGACGGCGGAGAAAATGAGGAAAGGGGCGAAGGGATAAGTTGGATTAGCTGAAACTGTCTAGTGTAAGAAAAGGGCGAAGGAGAGAGAGAGAGAGAGAGAGAGAGAGAGAAAGAGAGTAGGCCACCCGCTCGCGCGCACAGATTAAGCATCTTAATCGCCTGCGAGCAAAACTGCAAATTGCGCACTCGGGTGAAATGAAAATGGCACCGAGTGTACGTATACCCTCGCTTGTAAGGGAGGCACGACGCGCCGCGTTTGAAACAAAAAGTTCAACGGGCTTGAAAGCACCAGGCGAGGAAAGGACGCCGGAGCTCGTGAACGCGGAAGCGAAGGGTGAATGGTCATAGAGAAAGGGTCGCGACTAAAAAGTCAAGACACAGGAGACATGCCCGGTGAATTGGAGACGCTTTGCGTGAGTGAGAGGGGTGTGAGTTACAGCGAGCTTAGAGCAGGCGTACAGATAACTTTTTCTTTTAATCAGCGACGTTAAACTGCCGCTTTAATCTCGGCCCTACAGTTTTAACGCGCAGGCATTCTCTCTATATGATTAAAAACGAGATTGTTTCGAAACTATGTTATTGCATTATAACAATACGAGAATACTTCCTTCGTACACGCGGGCTTTTACTGTTGTGATTGCATTTTATTATTGTAATTTAAAGTTAATATTTGTCATCAAATTTGTTAAGTACCGTTAAATAAAATACGGGGGATACCAGTGATTTTACAACTCCTTTCTTCTTCCTGTTTAATTTTTCTCCTGGGCTTATCTTCGAATATGAGCTCCCATAAATTTGTACGCTGAAAAGGATAATATTAAGTAAACCGGCGCGGCGCGGCACGAATATACTTTGCTGACAAGTAGGTTAATCTACTTTCGCGCAATAATTTTTGTGCATACGTTGCCTTCATTAGAGCAGGGCCGCAATCTCGTCTTTCTTGGCATTTTGTTTGATAATGTATGATTTAACATGGATGGTTATCTCTTTCTCTCTTTCACCCACGACGAGAATTCATATTTACAGAGATCTCACTTCTCGTGAAAAATGTAATACTTGCTGTACGGGAAAATTTATTTTCATTTCTGTTTTGATGTCAAAACAGCAAGTCGTTCTAATGTTATTGTTATCCCTCCCGAGACATATTAAAAATAACAGTTTCACATAAAATGCAATATTTTGCATTCTATCTCTTTTAACATAGTAAATAAAATAATATTCAATTAAAATATTATTGTACACAATGTAATACTGTCATCAACAAATAATGTTAATAAAATCTCGATAATTAAAAACGTACTAGAAAAAATAATAAAATAATGATCTGCAACAATTAACGAACAATTAACGGACGATATATAATGGCCCGATATTTTGTTTGATCATTCGCCAAGAATTATAATGAATATACAAATTTTCATATTAAGGGCAATTTTCATATTAAAAACGAATTCCTCTAAAATTATTCTAGAAAATTTAAACACGCAATTAATGCGAAATATTAATATTAAGTGCGCGCGTTTCATGTTATAATTTTGCATTTCCATATCTAATATTATCAAATATTAAACTGAAACAGAAAACTGCATAGTTTTAATTCCTATATTTTTAGCGAAGATTTGCATATTAGCGATGCTGACGTTTCTTTTTTTTTGCCCACGCGGAAAGTGAATTAACGCAGAATAACGCTGGGCAAAGAACAGCTTTACAACGTTTCTAATCGCCGAAACTCTCCGAGCTCACTCACCGGTCGCGAAACGCGCGCGACGCGCGGAAAACGGCAGCTCGTCAACTTCTGACGTGCTCACACAAAGCGCCGTCTCGCGAGAGTACTCACCGTGAAATCGCGTATCGTCGTACATACCGCACCTTTTTGCCCCTCACCGAGATTAAAGTCCTTTGCGCTTTGTCCACAAGAGTGTCTGACATCCTCCGTTCTCAGCCGCGTTTTGCACGACGTTCCTCCGGGCGGAAGATAGACGCCAGACGAATAAGCCGACGAATAATTTTCTTCAACGCATATCAGGCCGAGCGAAATTAGTCCCGAGGATGAAATGTGGGGTGAGGGGATAAAAGCGGCGGAGGAGCGCGCGGGGGATCGCGGGAGGGATTCGCGCCACCCTAACGAGACTCTAATCTTCTTCCCCCGTTGAAGCTTAGGGCAGCTCGCTCAAACTTTCGCCTCGTACATCGGGTAATTAAAATGTTAATCGAGGAATTAGCCAGTTAAGGAGAAGGTTTGCCCCGGCGTATACTTCGGTTTCGCCCGCGCGTCGTCTGTCTTGGTTAAACGGAACTCGGAAGTCGAACTTTGATCGGGTTTAATGTGAACGAAATGGCCAAAGAGGTAGTAACAATTTCGTTTCATAAAGGACAAATGTATATCGATGTACTTCCAATATAATAATCCATTTCTAAAGCCACTTCAAAATATGCATAACGAGATATGTATGTAGCTATAATAGATTGAACGTTACACAGAAAGAATAATTTTGCTAAATCCAGATCTGAAAATAATTTTTGTTCAATAATCAAAATAATTTTGTGCGAAAGTCAAAATGATTGCTAGAATATCAAAACGTTTTATAGCAATGCTTATCAGTTTTAACATTCCAACAAATTATTTTGATAATTCAATAAAAAATTATTTTTAGATCTATTTTTGGCAAAATTTTTAAACCTTTCAACAAAATCGTTCTTTCCGTGTAAATATTGTTATGGCTTCATTTAAATTGGTATACATATTAATTTCCGAAGTACTCGCAATTCATGAGAATTATATTAATTATTTCCCGTAGTATCGTTACTGTGCAGTTACGATCCCCTCCCCCCCCAATTGGAAATTTAAAGTTTGTAGATCTCTAAAATAAAAAAAATGTTACAAATAATATGCATGGATTCGGAATAAAATGCCGATTCAGTATATGTGTGTTCTACGCGTCATGTGCTGTGAACGTAATCTCTTGGTCATCTACCGGAGCGGTTTGGGATTCCTATTTTGGAAATTAGTTGGAAAATTAGTTTTGGCCACCAGTTTACTACGAACTTTTGAAATTGGTAGGTTGGAGAACTGGCACGGCATCGGGGAATATAGTTTTCTGTCGTCAACGAGTCGCCCCGTACATTGTCAAGTTCTAATGTTATTACAGTTCATTCCGAGCGGCATTTCAACGTCGGTCAGCGACGAAATGTCGACGGAAAATTGTTAGCTTCCGTTACATCTAAAAGACCATCTTTCGCTTTTTGTTGCAGGCTGGACGACGAGAAGCTGGATCTCATTAACGTAAGTAATTTCGATAAGATGAAGCATTACCTTTTACAACTTTAATTAAACGTCTCGCCCGTAGAACAATGTATAGCAGAAATTATATTTATCTAGAATCTGAGACTGAGAATCAGGTCTTGTAAAATTTATGAAATATGTAGTTGCAGTAAATGTAATATTACAATAATGATACAAAAATTAGTGACAAATGAAAATAAGAGCAATATATTAATAATGCTTTTACTGTGCAATTTAATCTCTAATAAAAAAATATTTTTACATAAAGGAGTAATCATTTCAAAGAAACAATTCAAGAAAAGTGTTTAATAGTAGTTGTCACTTCTTACCAATAGACTAATTTAATTGCGCTTTAATTTCAAGGAAACATATAAATCAATTCGGTCCGCGTACAGTCCAAATTTGAAATGATCATGTTGTAGCCTAGACCTCTTTGCACAGGGATCGATTAAAAGCACCGCAATATTAGCTCTCTGTAATCGCGTAAGCCTTCGTACGATTTCGTCGACGTTGATCGACGTCGATATACGGGACAGCAGCGAATGGAAATGGACCATGGTAGAACTACGCATTCCGCGCCATATCAAACGTTGCCGGCGTCATGGCGGCCTAATGCACCGCGTCGCGAGCATAACTGTATGCGCCAAATAACCGGAAATTACTGGGCGCATTTCAATCAGAACCGCCCGGCAACGTCCGTCGCATGGACCATCGTTTGTTCCACATAAATAGACGCCTAGCTTGTATGATAATCTCTCAAATCGAGCCGGGAAATCTCGGGGAATTGCTGGCTTCTCTCTGGAGAACCGCTTTTCCGGTAAAGCTACAGCGAATGAGTCTATATTCAACGGGAAGGGAACGCTCGTTTATCATTCGCATTGCGATTATCTGTTTATCACACTAATATTATAACGGTAAAATATGGAAATTAATAGCAAAAATATGTCCTTTCATAAATTTGATCTCAATTCTGCGGCAAAAAGTTTACAAAGGTTCAATTTAATAATAATCGATGGTTTTAAATTGGACCATTAATTAATAAAATTGCACGACTTCGAAGTCGAGTTTATCAAGAATATGAGTAGATTTTATGTATCACCCAGTTTCATTTTATCTTTTGTACTTAAATTTGTACTTTTGTACTTAATAATTAAATTATTTAAAGTTGAATTTCTAAAAGTGAATAATATTGATTTCCCCAATTGAATTTTCGCTATTGAAAATATCAAGCACAAATCTAATTATCAAGACGTTCTAATTTCTCAACAAAATTCTGTTACTTCTTACAATTTATTAAATCCATTATAAATGTATTTAACATTCATATCTACACATGAACAGAAAAATTATAACGAATTCCGTGATTATACGAGCGCGGTAACGATATTTCGAAGTTTGTCCTTTTTCGACAATATAAAATGGAGTGTAAATTGCAATGGAATAGAAACAGAAATTTGCAATCCAAACAGCATAGAGTGATATTATATACTGTATGCAGTCATCACTGAATATTGAAAATGATTTTCCTCCGTTTATCCTACATCATATTGCGTACATCCGCTATGAAATTGCGCACTTAAGCAGGATAGAACGCAATATCGTGTAGTATAAGCGCCGCAGATTTATCTCGATCGTGTGCATTGCTGTATTTACCAACATGTTCCAATTGCAGTAGTTACGATACTTCACGCGTAGTACAGCAAAACAATCGTCTTTGACTTGGATGAAGCCACATGCATTTACCCTTGCAATTGCACTTCGCCTAGCGATGGGAGCGCAGCTCATTAAATCTCCCGTGTGGTCGAATGTTTCAGCGAACCACGACACTCTAAATAGCCTTTTGATAAATTTCTACGTAAACGTTTTAAACGCGTGCTTTATAGCACACTTTAAATTAAATGTCTTCAATAAGCATTACATTGCACTATAGCGCGTTTTTGCTTTATTTTACTAAATACTTCGTGATACATCAAAAATAATTTTTAAATACATCCCACGTATTTTTTCCGTATCTTATCTCCGCACAACACAACTCAATAAGAAGACTAAATATTCATATAAGAATAGTAAAACTATTATAATAAAAATTAATTTTATTATTTTTTTATACCCTGAGAAAAAAAATTGTTGATTTAAAAAAATATTATTTCATTCAACTAAATGCGGCGGTCACGGCCTGTTAAGCAAACATTTGTTAATTCAACAAAATACTTGTTAATTCACAAAAATATCATGTTAATGATGTATATTTAATTCAAAAACATATATAATTGAATCAAAGAAAACGCATTTAGTTATTTTAACAATTTTTTTCCCAGTGTATGAATATAAAAGTAATAAAATTAACTTCTATACAGTTAATTATATAAAATTGTTAATTATATAAAAATTAGTTTTCCTTGACATATACATATACAGTTAATTGTATGCGAAAGTTAATTTTATTGTTTTCACATATACAGATGTTAATTATACACGTACGTGCAGCTCTTTCAAAAATTTCCGAAAAGTTTTTATTGTATTTTCTATCATCATATCTTGCAAGTGATATATTAGCCGGTTGTAAGAAGATCAATTGAAAGGATACATATTTTGCAATCTTCGTAGATGCCAAGATACCGAGAATCTTTATTTCTCCTCTCCTTTTTCCGTGATGTCAGTATCGAGCATGTGCACCGGCAATCTCAAGAGAGTGCCTTTACTCCACAATCTTCCCCTTGCGTTTTATTGCCGGGCTACACTCCTCTCGCTTGTCGAACTGCTCTCTTGATTTTTCTCAGCCACTTGTTTTCATCGCTCTCTCTTCTCGGACACTATCTCCCAAGGGTGCTTCTCGTTCCGTAGAAATCTTACTGCTCGACATGCGTGTATATGCGATTATAGACATACGTTCTCTAATATCACATAAATCGAAGTAAATATCCTCGGGCAACTCTCAATGGCTTGTGAATAAAAATAGTTAATATTGGTAGCAGATTGGTAGCAGTTAACTCAATTTCGAAGCGCTGTAATCAGCCGTGTAATTTACTTTTTTTACAGAAATATTTAAAAATGTCAATATAAAAATAGTAATTTTTATTAGTTTTCTCATTGAGTTGTGTGGAGTTAAGATACGGAAAGAATGACAATAAACAGGATTTTACAAGAATAAAAAATTTATAATTACGATGAGAGTTTACCGAATCTCTCATTTAAATAACTAATGTGCTCTATATTTTTATTATTAAAAATGCATGAAATGCATTTTTCCATTGGGATGTCATGCAGCGCAAGTCCTTCCATTTGCATATCATTTTGCGGTATATGCGATGGTAATCTCAGGGGAGTGTCCACTCTACCACAATCTTCCGCATATGTCATATTGCCGCTGAACGACAGTTCTGATTGTTCTCGTGGAAAAGAGAACCGTTCTTTTTCCACTCTCGCTCTTCCTCGAATGATATCCCGCATGGACGATTCTATGTGATTCTCATCGTTATTTGTAATGCATACGAGAGGATGACACAGGCATCGATAATAAAATTTTATTCTGTTAAGTCCTGCTAGTAAAATTATTGTTCTTCGATTATTGCACTATTTTATAATTTTATAAATATACCGAAATAGAAAGTGAGTATTTATTTTTATTCTATTAATAACGTTTTATTATTTATACATAACCTGCTTTCCCTCTTTTGTAAATCGAACAGTAATTACGTTATAAAAAAATCTTTTGTATAAAAATGTTTTTATATATTGGATGTGAAATATAAAATTAATTGAATAAATTATATTTCATACATATTGTCGAAATATATAATTGATATCTGTGAATCGTTTTAATGTTTTATTTTGACGTTACGTTAAACGTTCTGTGATATTAATTTTTATTATTATATCATGACAGCGATGACGTAAAATATATAAATTTTACTGCATTATACGAAATATGAAAAAGGAAATATTGATAATTTAATATTTACGATTGTAATTAACATGCAGAAAAACTTTGCGCAGAAAATTTTGTATCAAGCTTAATGAATCTCTAAAATTATATAAATACTTCATGTTCTTATAATGTAAGCACGAATCACGCTTTATAAGTTAATGTAATTTATGTTTAAAAATAACTGGCCCACAAGAGAGAACATATAATTATAACTTTCTAATTAATTTTTTTTATGTTACTCAATCTCGCAGCATTCTCATGTCGCCATTATTACCGATGACAATTTTGCGAAGTAGCCTCCGTGAATGGAAACTTGTTAATGAGTTTACTTCTCGTAGATGTGATTCTCCCGAGGCAATTTAAATTAAAGCGTTATTGTGTTTCATTATTTATTCGGGAATGAAAGGGGAGACGACCCATTTATAACTATTATCTGATATCAGAGAGGCATATACCGATAGGAGAGCGTAAGGCGAAGGAACTCTCAATGGCGGATTTTACAATGGAAAGATCCAGTATAACGATCGTCTTTCGTGCAAAGAGTTCGATCATGGAAACTTTTGCCGAAGTGTGCGCACAAAGAAGAAGGCATGCTCCATGCCTTCTTCGTAGCGCGTCTCCTTTTCTCTTGAAAACTACGAAAAAAGGAAGTTCTCTGCCGGGCGAAAATCTTTACTCCCCCGACTCGTGAGACAATGGCACGGTTTTTTCCTTTCGCGTTGAGATCGATGAAACATTATGGAGAAAGATGGAGCGCGATCATCCCGTCGCCCCGTTCTATTGTATATGTTTTGTCGCGATAAGTTTTTCTGAGCAACTATTGTATATATTGTACGGTGGCACATTTATCTTGAGACTTTTCGTGCGACTAAACGCAATAAAATATGCTCAGCCTTCGTCGAGCAGAAGCTTTTGCTTTGCCACGCACACGTGCGAGTTTACTATCTTCCAGTATAAATTTACACAATTATTGCGCGCGTAGCAGGAGAAATAACAGAAAATTTCTTTTTTTAATACATATATATATAATTAAATCTTGTCACTACAAGACAAATTGGATATCGTCTCGACA